TCCAACACTTGACGAGATGGAAGACCCTATGCAATTCGAGGAGAACATGTAACTACAACATGCTGTTCCTGAGTGGGTTAAAAGAGAAAGGACTTATGAGAGCAGAATTTATGTCCTGCACAGCAAAAATAATGAGCAAAATAGAAAAACTTGAATCCGAAAGGGCAAGCCTCACCAAAGAAACACAGAAAACAATAGATTGGGAATGCAAATCTACAGAAGGGAAGGACAACTTAGAAGAAGAAAAGCAAAAAAACAAGAATATTAAAAGAAAATATGCTCAGTCTACAAGCAAAACATGGATTTCAAAGAAGAGTATGTAGAGACCATCTAAGAATCATCTATCTTCCAGAAGAACATGACAGGACAAAAAGCTTTAACACCATAATGAAGGAAATAATATGTATTTCTGAACATAGAAAATGAAGTTCCATTTGAAAGAATTAACATATTGCCTCTAGGAAAAAAAAAACCCAACAACTCAAGGCTGCAAACTCTGAGATGGCAGTGGTTAAATTTAACAATTCAATTCAGAAACAAGTTCTAAGGAAACGACATTTGAACAATACAAGACTATTCTACACCCACTAAAAAAAAGGAGGAAGGAATATAACAAGGTGTTTCAAAGAGCCTTGGAGTTCAAGATGCAGCCCAGGGTGATCTATCCTGCAAATCTGAGTTTAACTACATAGAACAAAAAAATGGATATTCTAGTGACAATATTGCTGCAATTTCTTCCTCGGTTTATACTCAATCAAATGCTCTTAACCATGTTTTTTCTTTCAGGTTCCTGGAATTCCTCACATGAGTACATATCTTCTCAATATACAGATCTATCCTAACCCATGTTGAATTTATTAATATGCTAACTTTTTAATAAAACATACTCCTCCAAAGCCATATTCCAGTTATGGGTGTTATTCCACCAATTCTCAAGGAAAATTAAATTTGCTTTCTTGAGTTAGGATCTCTAGTTCACCTTGCTTGCTACTCTTATTTGTATATTTGTGTATAGTCATCTGAGGCCACTGCTTGGATCTTAATTTTATCTTCCATAAATTTTTGGCATCTCTACTGCTTTTCTTCTGTCTATACTGTAGCCGTTGTCCGTATTATCTAGCTTAGTGTTCATGTTTTTATACACAGGCAGTTTTTTTTTTTTTACTCCTCCATTCCTCTTCAGGTTCAAGTACTTTGTTTAGATTTGCAAAGCTCCAGGCAAAAACTTTTGGCTCAGATAAAATGAGATAATATTTATCTATACAAATGCTAACTATTATTGTTATTATTATTATTAATCAGCCTTGGTGAGCTATACTTCAACCCTGGCCAAAAGTCTGTCATTCCTTTAGAAATCCAAATTTATTCTAGGACATCCTCTTAAATCTTAGACACTAATTTCCCAAATCTGCCTTTTTTTTCAGAAGTTGTTGCTTTCAATTAGTAGGAACAATGAAAATTCTTCTTTTGCTCCCAAAATTTTCATAATTCTTAGTATGATCATTAACTATGCATCCCAGGGTCCATCTGAGCAGTATTATTTCTGTCACATGTGTCACCAGAGATAGGTAGTCATCCAGTTCAACAAGCCTGGGAAGTTTTCTTGAACATACTATTGGCCTCAGGAAAACACTAGACATCTCTTTAGTTATTGTCAAGTCAACAAATAACTGTGTTAGTACTCCTCATCAGTAAATCACCAATTGCCACCACTCATCTTTTCTTCCTTTCCTTCCTATTAGATAAGTTCTCAGCTAATGGCACTTGTGGGTCCACATCATCACCAGTTGTCATCTCAGAGAGTCGAGCTCCATTCTCTTCAAGAAAAGCCTTATAACTACCATTTGACATATTCTATGGTTGTTTTTTCCCCCTTTTGTTCAGTGTATCATATTCTTCCAACTTCATTATTATCGAGATTCCTATCTGTCTTTTCTGATATTCCAGGCATGAAGCAGAGTCTGTGTAAAGATTCTGAGAGAGGACAGAAATGGGAACATGCTCTGCCCTGTGCAGGGACCTAAGCTCACCTAGAACAACATTCTTTTTAAAACTTTCACTGGAGTTTCTGTTAAATTTTATCTTCAAACCAGCTTTAAAGGGAATTCAGATAGGAAGAAATGAGAAAGTAACATACCTGTGAATTGTTGCCTAATATTAATTGCTCATATGCATTCTTGGCTGCAGATTGTTTTGCTTCTTGTTTAGTAGACCCCCAACCAACATCATAGAGTTTCTCCCCAATCTTGTACCTACAAGAAAATCTAGAAGAAACAATGGAGAATAATAATGATGACATTTACTATGTTAAATATTAATAAGAATATTTAATATCAATGCTTTAAGCTTTGCAAATTGCTTTACATATATTATCTCATTTTATCTTTACAACAATCCTGTGAGGTAAGTGCTAGTATTATGCTCATTTTATAAATGAGGAAACTGAGGTGCAGAGAGGTTAAATGACTTTGCCCAGAGTCACATAGCTGATAAGTTCTGAAATAGGATTCAAACTCAATTCTTTCTGACTACAACTCCAACACTCTATTACTTCATCTAGAGGATTACTTATACATTGATGGATCTCAAAGTAAAATCTAATCTTTTCTTTAATGTTCCAAAAGTACAGAATCACAGAATTTTGGAGTTATAAAATATGCCAGCTATCATCTTGTCTAACCTAAAAGGATTCCCATTATCATATACTTATAGAATATCATCAATTCAATTAAGCAATTATTAAGTGCCTAAAGTATGTAGAGCACTGTGCTAGGCATTGAAGGAGACACAAACTTTAAACTAGACATGGTCCCTGTCCTAATGGAGTTCACAATTTAGCAGGGGAGCATCACATACCCCCCAAAAAAACCCCTACAATATAATACATTATAAGTACAGTAGAAAGGCAGAAGTCAAATGTTATATGAGATCAGAGAAAAAAAATGTCACTGATGACTGTAGAGATCAGTGAAGTCTTCCTAGGACAGTTGATATTTAAAGGCTTTAGAAGAAGAGTTGGGCTCCAAGGATTAGTAGGAATTCAACAGGCAGTGGGAGTGAAGAGGAGGAAGCCTGGACATAGCGCACTAGTAGTAGATGAAGATGCATTTAATCAATCAATCAACAAGTATTTATTAAAGACCTATTATGTCTCAGGCATTGTGCTAGGTGCTGGAGATAGAAACACAGAGAATGAAACCATCCATACTCTCAAGGAACTTGCATTCTAATGGGTATTATAACTTTTTTTTCATCTTCAGTTTTATCTGAAGTAACAATTCACTGGACAGTGTCCTCATGTCTTGAAAAAGTTTCTTAAAAGAATAGTTTCAAGGTAAGATATGGATGTAGGCATGGAGGCAAGAATGCATGTGTAATATCCAAGGGATATTTGCAGAGTCAAGTTTGATTCTAGTATAGAGGACACAAAGGGATAATAACATGAGACAAGGTTGCAGAGGTAGGATGGTGTCATATTCGCAAGTCAGGTTAAGGAATCCGATGAGTTTAACTAGGAAGGCAATAGGAGCCACTACAGAGCAGTGACACAGATAAGGAAACTGGGCACTCTTTCCATTATACTAAGCTACTTCTCTGGTAATAAAGAAGGTACGTTTGGCACAGCATGAAGGATGGGTTAGAGAAGAGAGTATCACATTTAATATAGAGCCCAAGGATGACTTTGTGGGATAAGGTTCATTTTTCATTTAGGAAAGACAAGGGATCTCCTCAACTTGCAGAGGTGGGAGACTATGGATTTGGAGCACTGCATACAATCAGAATTTGTAGAAGAACACTGTATATAGTCAGAATTTTTTGAAGTGTTGGCTATTTTGGCAAAAAAAATATTTTTCTCTTTTCAATTTCTTGTTATATGGGATAGCTCTAGGATAGAGGAAGAAGAAAAAGACATATTGAGAAACGTAGATTATATAAAAACAAAAGATTTCACCAAAAACTAAATTAGAATAAATAATGTGTTCTATAGTTTAAAATTTAAAATGTGACTGAATTGGCTTTATGTAAACAGCCAGGCTTGTTTGTGCTATCCTGCTTCCGTCCTTCAAGAAATTTCCAACTTTCCCTTCTACTTTATTGGAAGTCTTAGGTCAAGTTTAATAAGCTGAGATCATAGGAACATGACTATTTTGGTCACCCAACCTAATCCTTTGGATGAAAATTTATTAAGCAATATTGTTAAGTTTTGAATTCCAGGGCATTTTTATTTAGAGGAATAAATGAATCTCAGCTCAGGTACTCTGAGTTGATAGGAGTCCTTTATCTTTTTACAAAATCATCTGTAACCCTTGGCTCAAAGAGCCAATTGCATAGGACTCTTTCTTCATTGGTGGAGATTAATTACTCAATGCCTTGTGCCTGTGTGAGTGGTGGGAGGAGTTGGTGAGAGCTAAAGAGAAGAGAGATTTGGTCAGACTTTCAGCTTTGAGAGAAAAGATGCACCATTCCAACCTCTCTTCAAGACTCTGAAGGGAGAAAAAGATTCTGAAAAGAAGCTGACATTTAGAGGAAATGACAATCTTTATCACATCCCCATCCTCAACCTGCTACACTAGAGACTTTGGGGAATTTCCCTTTGGGTAAAATCTGAGATTCTCTTAATTTATTTGAGTAATTTCACTCCTAATGGGAGAGTTCATTCACTCTGTATTGTTCAGTATATATTCTCCTATGTATACTTTCTCTGATTTCTGTTTTGCTATCAACTTTGATAAATGAGTTTATTTGCTACTTGTTACATGTGTTTATTGTGGAATTGGCATTTGGTGGGAAGGAGTTCAAGCCTTGGATGTTTAGATTGGGGCCTCCTTTTCCCATTAAAAGATACACATAACAGGAATGCAACTTGAACCTCAAAATTACTTCCCCTAGATTAATAGTATTTAAGAGAACAAATAGACATATAGCCTGGCACTTCTTTTCTCTTAGAAAAAGCAGAGTTGTGGGCCTCTGGACTCACCTCTTGCTTCCTTTCCTTGCAGGAATAAAAATCTCCTTTGGAGAACAGTGGGAAGAGGAGACACTAGAAACATCTATCCTTACCTTCCTGTGAGACACATCGAGACAAGCCTTGGCACACAAAATCTACATGGGCATGTGTTTACATGCCCTTACACATCCTTGTGTAATTAGGGTCTGGTACAGGTCTACACCACCTAAGATGTCAGTTGTCCACATGGAGGACACTAGAAAGCTACTTCCAGGAGAATCACTAGGACAAAGTACATCAGAAAAATCCCTTGGAAAGACTGGAGTATGCATAGGCATTCTGTAACTGGTGCTGGTCAGCTAATCATGTGATGAAAAGGAACATTAGCTGTGGAGTTATTCAAAACAACCTGTCAACTTCAGTATCCTCCACTTTGCCTCAGAGCTGTTGAGAAAGCTCAGTAACCAATAAAGGGAGTGTAGCTTATGATCCTGTGATATTGAAAGTCCCAAAGCTTATATAGCCTACATAAATGTTAGATATTATTATTACTATTACTAGTATTATTATTATTTTGGGTGTGTGTGTGTGTGTGTGTATATGTATATGTGTGTGTGTTACTTTAACAGTATCACCACAATGATACAAATAGGGCTCATTCTATATTGCCTATTCTGATAGTCCTAAAGAGTACTGCATTGAGAGTAAAAGAGAACCTGGGCCCAAATACTAGTCCAGCCCTTTAATACCTCTGCAATAGTTATGTGACCCTTAACAAGTCACTTAACCCTTGAGCTTCAATTTGCTCAAGTAGCAAACATTTATTAAATATTTGTTTGTGCAAAGCATTACAGCAGTATCTAGGTATACAAGGGTAAAAACAAAAGGTTTAATTCCTCAGTAGTCATTTTTACTCTATTTTTTCCCTAGCCCAAATGACATTGTCCTTAGCAGAAAAGGGGATAAAAAAGGAAAATAAGAGTTGAATATTTCTGTTATTCTTTCCATTGATTATTAGTAGCTCTAATGGACACTGAGCAATGGTCCTGTCCCTTTTTGGATTCACTTTTTTTCCTGAACATTGACTAAAAATACATTCATTGCCAATCTACTATCATTCTGAGCTTTAGCATGCCTGACACTATTCTTATAGGACGTGTCACACTTTTATATTCATCCTTAGTTACCTGCCCTTGCTTCTACCATCTACACAAGAGTTTTTTAGATTGAAATTGCCTTCTGAATCCCCAGTGTACCCTAACTGGTTGCCCATTTCTTCTTAATTGAAATTATTTGTGTTTTCAAAATTTCATTTTTTTTAGAATTTCCTATCCCTCCTTGTCTCACACCTGCTATAGAGTTTTAGCATGAAAAATCCTCCCCATCCTTTCTCTTAACCCTTTAAAATCTGCTGTCCCAAGATAAAATCTATTTAATAAGGAGGAAACAAACATTTATTAAGCACCTACTATGTGCCAGGCAATATGTTAGGAGCCTTACAATTATTAACTTATTTGATCCTCATAACAACCCTAGGAGGTAGATGCTATTATCCCCATTTTAGAATTGAGGGAACTGGAGCAAACAGAGTTTAAGTGACTTGTTCATAGTCACATAGCTAAATGTCTGAGGCCTGATTTGAACTCAGGTCTTCATATCTTTGGACTTGGCAATAAGGAAGCAAATGCTGACTTTTTGGGAAGCAGGTTCACTAAAATGATAGAGTAGAAGTCAGATGAAGAATCATGATAATCCACTCACGGTCACATAGGAAATGACAAAACACAGATTAAAATCTATGTCCTCTGATTCCAAATCTATTGCTTAACAAATACCCTGATAAATGCATGTTGAAATGGAATAAACTAAAATCTATTTCTGAGCCATTTCCTATATACCTAGAACTGATGGCCCTGCCCAAATAAAAGGCTACCTCTTTTCCTTTGCTCAAACAGTTCTTGAAATCCACCTTTCTTCACTGAATCTTCAGGACAAAAGAGAGGTGCAATGAGCAGAAGAAACAGTGGGTGGTGAAGAAATGGAGCCATGCAGTAAATATAACATTTTCTAGGAGTTTATCAGTGTTATAAAGAAAAACAACTTTAAAAGCCTGACAACTGATTGATGCAATGGCAAACCACTGGGGCAACTAATGATATCTGGCATGGATATCCACAGACTCTTTAGGAAACATTCTGCCTTAGACCAGCATCTCACACTGTACACTAATATAAGGTCAAAATGAGTATATGATTTAGACATAAAGAGTGATACCATAAGCAAATTAGGAAAGCAAGGAAGTTTACCTGTCAGATCTATGGAGAAGAGAAGAATTTATGACCAAACAAGAGACAGAGAACACTATGAAATGCAAAATAGATAATTTTGATTACATTAAATTAAAAAAGGTTTGCATAAACAAAACCAATGCAACCAAGATTAGAACAAAAGAAGAAAGATAGGAAACAATTTTTACAACAACTGTTTCTGATAAAGGCCTCATTGCTCAAATACATATGGAAATGAGTGAAACTTATAAGAATGCAAGTCATCCCCTAATTTTTAAATGGTCAAAGGACGTAAACAGGCAGTTTTCGGATGAAGAAATTAAAGCTATCTATAATCACATGAAAAAATACTCTAAATTACTATTGATTAGAGAAATGCGAATTAAAATAACTCTGAGGTACTACCTCATTAGCTACAGATTGGCTAATATGACAGAAAAGGAAAATACAAATGTTGAAGATATGGAAAAATTGGGGCACTAATGCATTGTGGGTAGAGTTGTGAACTGATCCAACAATTCTGGAAAACAATTTGGAACTATACCCAAAAGGCATAGTGTGCATACTTTCTGATGCAGCAATATCACTACTAGGTCTGTGTCCCAAAGAGATCATAATAAAGGGAAAAGGACCTACATGTATCAAAATATTTATAGCAGCTCTTTTTGTGGCAGCAAAGAATTGGAGATTGAGGGAATACCAAGTTGTGGTATATGAATGTAATGGATTACTATTGTGCTATAAGAAATGATGAGCAGGTGGGTTTCACAAAAACCTAGAAAGACTTACATGATGAGGCTGAGTGAAGTGGGCAGAATTGGGAGAATATTGTACACAGTAACAGCAATATTGTGAGACGATCAAATATGATAGACTTAGCTCTTCTCAGTAAAACAACAATCCAAGACAATTCCAAAAGACTCATGATGGAAAATGCTATCTACATCCAGAAAAAGAACAATGAAACCTGAACACAGATTAAAACATACTATTTTAACTTGTTTTTTTTTCTTTTTCATGGCCTTTCTCTTTTGTTCTGTTTCTCCTTTCATAATACAACTAGTGTGGAAATATGTTTAACATGATTGCACATGTATAATTTATATCAGATTATTTGCCTTCTTGAGGAGGGGGGGATGGGAAGGAGGGAGAAAAATTTGGAACTCAAAATCTTATAAAAAATAAATGTTGAAAACTATCTTTGCATGCAATCGGAGAAAATAAAATACTATTTACTGGGAGAGAAAAAAAGAAACTTCCCACCTGAACCAAATGTCATCTCTTCTTCTGAGTCTCTGTTCTGATACACAAAGCCATTTCTCTGAGATATCTCAGGCCTCAGAAGTTTGGTTAGGCTCTTTAAGTAAACAGCAGTTTATATTGTTCCAATGAAACAGCAGCCCTAAGCATGGGATCCCCAGCATTGAAGGTCTGCTCGCTCTCCTGGGTCCTGACATAGTGTTAAAGCTATTTTAATGACAAACAGCTAAGCTGAGGATCCTGCAAAGCTCCTCAGATCTATTTGGGCTGTGTGGAATTTCCCTTTTTCAAGCTCTAGGTGGTGCTAAAGAGCAATACCGATAAGCTAAGCCAGCTCTGCACACAGCAGATTCTGATACTGTTAATGAGCCGTCTAATGACTTAGGGAAGCAGGAAAGTCCTGTTGTAGGTAGTAGAATTCAAGCTGAGCTTAAGGAGCTACAGATTCTAACAGGTAGAGATGAGGAGAGAGACAGAGACAGTGCTGTGTATAGGGAACATGAAACTGGCCAGTTGGACTAGAACACAGAATGTGTTAGGGGGAGTAATGTGGAATCAGTCTGGGAACACAAGTTGAAGCCAGACTGGGAAGGGTTCTGAATGCTGAGAAGAGTTTGTATTTTATCCTAGGGGGGATAGGAAGTACTGATGCCTCTTCAACAGGGGACCGACCTGATCACCTTGTGCTTTAAAAATATAAATCTGGCAACTGTGTGGAGGATGAATCAGAGAGGGGAGAGACTGAAGGAGGGAGAAGGGCATTGCATTTGAGGCTGGCTCCCTTAGTAAAAGTGATTTCTTTCTTCTCAAATTTTCCTAAAGGTCTTGATCTCTTATTTGCTCCATCACATTCTCCCTTGTATCACACTTATTTATTTATATAAATTTGTGTATGTGTGTGTATACTCACATATGTGTGTGTGTGTGTGTGTGTGTGTGTATATATATGTATATACACAGGTGTGTATACACACACACACACACACACATGTACATATATGTATGTGAATGCCCTTAGGAAACTGTAAGCCTTAACACCACTTCTACAACCCAGTGACACCAGACTCTTCACTGTTCTTCTAACAAGACACTCAATCTCCAGACTTCAGACATTTTCACTGACTGTTCCCCATGCCTCAAACACTCTTCCTCCTCATCTCTGCCCCTTGGCTTCCTTCAAGTCCCAGCTAAAATTTCACCTTCTACCGGAGACTTTTCTGATCCCACTTGATGTTAGTGCCTTTCCTCTGTTTAATATCTCCAATTTACCCTGATTGTACATAGTGGTTTCTATGCTGTCTCCCCTACTGGATTGGGAACTCCTTGAAAAGAGGGTCTTTCTTGCCTTTCTTTGTAACCAAAATACTCAGCATGGTGCTAGCCCAGAGCAGGTACTTAATAGAAGCATATTGCCTATGTTATCTTTCATCTTTGTACTTCTAGTACCCACAAGGATGCCTTGCACATAGTATAGGGCTTGATGAGCATTCAAAGAATTGAATCTCTTTAAGAATGTCCAACTTCTTTCACTCTAATTCTGTGCTCTCTAAAAAATGTCCTGATTTATTTTTTGTTCTCCTGAACGTACCATT